ATGGAGCAGCAACACTCTTCAAATGTATATAAGTCTGGCTTTCATCACCTCGTTCAGCCCTCAGCTTCTCATGCTCATCGATCGTCCTTGGCTCTCCTTGATGCTCGCGCTCCCAACAGAAGCGATCCCCCAACATGAAGCTAGGAACAGCCATCTTTGCTGTGGGCGCTTTGCCGTCTCTCATTCAAGCACTGCCAACTTCATCATCATCATCATCGTCCCACACCGGCGACGTCGTAAATGAAATTTGGACCAGAACTTCATCGGCAGTCACATCAGACCTGAATGCTGTCAAAGCCAAGACCTTTTCACACATCGTCATTGGCTGTGGCTTAGCCGGCAGCGTCGTGTCAGCACGCCTCAGTGAGAACAGCAAGAACACCGTTCTGTGCGTCGAGGCAGGTAGTGATACTAGAACTGCGGACAATGTAGTGCACGGTAAGTATGGAGGAGAGTGTTGTACTGCTACTTCAGCACTCTGACGGTCAAATTGTCCCGATCGTCGCAGCATACAATTATGGTAGCGTCATTCAAGATGGGGACAAGAACTTCAAATACCCCGTGAGTCCTTCGTTGCTCGTCCTGCGCGTCGCCGACGCATCACTCACATCCACATCCTATTATGTCATGTCCGTGCAGACCATCGCTCAGCCGACAGCCAATGGTCGGCAGCTCTCTGTATCGGCTGGAAAAGGTCTGGGTGGATCCACCTCTATCAACGGTTTGGCTGTCACCCGACCGCCCCAGAGCCAGGTCGATGCCTTCGGACAGGACCTTAGTACAGGCTGGTCATGGGAAACGCTCTTGCCCTACATGAAGAAAGCCGAAAAATTCAACCCTCCTTCTGATGACCTCAAGGCTCTCGGTGCTGATTGGGACCCCAGTGCTCACGGCACCGATGGACCGGTCGCAGTCGGCTTTCCATCGACTCTGTACCGTGGCGAGATCATCAACCGCTACAGCGAAGCAATTACCAACACTGTGGGCACTCCCCACATTCAGGACAACAGCAACGGAGTACAGCCAGGAGTGTGCCGAACGCCAAACACCATCTTGCCAGGTTCCGGGGATGCCCAAACTCGAGTGTCTGCAGCCACGGCCTACATTACTCCAAATGAAGCGCGCAAGAATCTTGTTTTTCTGAC